ATTTTTATTTGCATGTGCCCTAGTTTACTCCCTGTGTAGTCCCTGATCATTAAATATTTTCCAATTCCCATACACCAAATTTCAAAAGGTTTTAAGCTGGCTTTATCCGTTAAAACGGCTTTCTCTTAAGCAAACATCGTCCAAAGGCTGAAATGAATAAAATACATACTAGTACCAGTCGCAGTTCGAGTCCACAGTCCCATTACCATTCCGCCAGACGTTGATGGATTTGTGTGAATGGGGCATCATAACTCATTTCCCCAAGCACATGTTCACAGATTTTCCATATGTTTTAACGGCTGCAAGTCGTTACAATGCACTTGGCGGACATCTGTATGCATAAACCCATTGCGGGAAAAGAATATGGGAAAATATGGTTGCCTTTCGTTTTGTTTATTTTGGGTCAACGCTTTGGGGGCTTTTGTCTTTAGCACCGTAAACTGACTCTGACTCTGTTCACTCTTCTGTCAGTCGGGGAGTGTGTTATCTTTTTCCCCATTTGATATTTAATCTTATCTTTCGTCCCAGTACAATTATTTGTTTGTCGGGCCCTCCAACAAAAAATTACTGGACGACTACGAGGAGTATATTTCGTTGTCAACGTTATGTGTACTCATGTAATGGTAGAGTGTATATTTATTTGGCAAAAAAGAAAGCATATTTGTTGTATTTCAAGACAAAGAAAACGGGTGTTCAACCCATCATCATCCATCATCAGGAAATCTATTTTGGGGTAAAATTCAATTAATAGTCACAAAATCCAAAAATCAAAAATCAAATGAAAGCGAGATTTTGTGTATAAAGTCATCTAATATATGAGTGACGGACAGGAAGCGATGTGCGAGTGGGACGCAATCATTCGATACAAATGGCATTCTGGGTATTCTTCTACTATGAACAAAAGGAAATTTGCATTTAAATTGCTTTCACATCTCTCCTGTAACTGTGGACGAGAGATTCCGGAACTGTAACAAATTGTTTAGCGTTAATTCCACCGCTTTTCAATTGTTATTTTGGTAGTTTTCCTGCAATTTCAGTTTTCTTTTGGTTTCGGTTGAGTTTTTGCTTGGCTGTCTGCTGCATTAATTTGTTCCACTTGCGCGACGTTTAACTATCGACAATCTTTGGTATTTACCTCTTGTTTCTTCCCTCTTTGCTCTACGCTCTCTATTCGATTCGTGCGGAGTCGTTGAACTCCGGGGCGATGGGGGATCTGATGTTGCATTGTGTGTAGTTAACTCTGCATTTCTGGGGCATTACAGTATGAAAAATAACTAAACAAAAACCGAAATAAGCCAAAAAGATTGAAACAACAAAACGCTCCGAAAAAAAAAACTTGTTTCGGCTTGTGACTTTTGCGCATGCTCAGCGTTTTGCTTTGCCAACGCTTTACGGTACAGTGAACTCTGGCCCCCTGCTCTCTATGGCCCTCTTCTCACTCTTTCTCTCTCTCTCTCCCGCTGAACTGAAAACCATGTTCCTGTGACGTTTGGGCCATAAATTTTACAGCTGCTGCTGCAGCTTCTATTGTTGCAAGTGTAATTGCCTTTTCGACCATTTCCTCTCTCTGTGTTTTCTCAATAGCTCTGCTCTTTTCCGAGGGCTAGTTGTACCAAAAATGACTCATCATTGTGTGCTCCCATTTGATGGCCAATGGCAGCTGCAAAATCTGCTTCCAAAACAAGAAGAACTGGTTGCCTGGCTTGCTGCGCTGCCACAGCCTTGTAAATCCATGCAACATCCGAATCGAATCCGAATGTGTGGTGTGGTGTGGTGTAGGCCCCCGCACGCTGCACAATCGCGAACGAACCTGAACCTGTCGCACCGTTAAAGCCGCGTTCCTGCTGCTCCTCCGACTACTGGTTGAACTTGATATTGAAACGTTCTCCGCAAATCGAATCAGTACTGTATATGGCCAAAGAACTGCAGAGTCGACAGAAAAAAACGTAACTGGTTTCGGATACCCCGAGATGGGGCTTTTGTCGCGCTCTCTTTTTGGCACGATCCAAACAATTCCAAGCGCCTTTTGTCCACAACAATCTTAATCAAATTCCGATGAAATGCTACGAAACATTTCTTAGCTAACGGCTCGCTCGTGTGACTCCTGGACTTCTTTCCAAGGTATTACTGGTGCCCCATCGCTCCATTGCTGGGCTTCCTCATGGCATGTAACCCTACGAAAATTGTCGCAATTATTACACAATTTTCATGGTTTTATTACCGAGGTATTGCTTCGTCTTACGGTTTCGGTTTTGGGGCTGTGTTTCATTTTCCGAGCAATTCAAATTGTTTTTTGTTGTCTTTTTCCATTTTTCCACAGTTGGTAGAATGTCATACGAGGCGATGACTTGACTTGGTTACGAAATTATGGCAATTGTTTCGGTGTCTTCATTTCCTTCTCTTTGTTTTGGCCATGTTTTGAATACAGGGAAGTGGCACAAATATATGCTACCCAAAGGCCCCGGGAAATGGGTCAAAATGCGGGAAAGACAGTCGGAACAGTGGGGTTAAATCACCACAGATTGGCTTTAGGCTATAGGAAATCAATTTTGGTGCAGCCAATAGGAATCCATGCAGCCATTAAATCATAAATTAATCTGTGCTCCGCTTTCTGTAAGCCCACACAAAATTATCTCAACTTCCAATTTATCTCAATTATGTGTCTTTTAAATTTTCCAATGGAAATTCAATTGATTTTGAAAAAGCCCCTTTATTATTTCATAGATCATCTCTATCGAATAATTCGAACCGAAAAAAAATCGATTGTATTTGATTGATTCATTTTTTCCACTTTTTCCCTCCATTTTTAAGCCCAAAAGGTACAACCCCCCAGGCCCTGCCCCTGCCCTTAACCGTTGTGTGCATTTCTTTAACTGTTTTTCATTTTCTGTTGCGCAATGCAACAGAATGCATAACAAAGCTGCGGCCCAAAACAATAGGCACATAACGAACAACATGATTATTAATTATTCAGAAAAAACACACCACAACGGTACCTGTCGGCCCCTGGCCACTTGTGTGTTTGATTATCGCTTGGGCTCGAGGGGCTTTTGGCCAGACGACGACGAACGACCGGAAGGTGAACCTCTATTACCCACAATGGTAGAACAGTTTTCATTACAAAGAGATACATATATTTCCCATATATACATACATATGTACATATGTATGTATCATTTCTCGACCATTTTTAGGAGCAGTTGCAATTGCATTCAAAATTCCAACCTAGTTAAAAATATAAAAGAATAATGCATATTTTTGATATGGAATTATATGATACTTTCGTGATTTGTCTTTCTTTGTGAACAAACACGAAGAAGAGATTTTTCTCCGAATGTTTCTATGACAATGCTATGATATATAGGCCGATCTGATTTACATACTTATGTGCATACATATGTATGTACATATGTAAATATATGTATATGTACATACATTTATACTGAATAAAGCAAAAAGGAATGAGCACAGTTATTGCCAGATAGGAACCATTATAATGGATAGACATTTATGATTGTATATATCGGGGATGCTTACCTCTGCAAGGATATGCAAAAAAAGATAAAAAAGCATCCTCTTGTCAGGTGTGGGGTTCGAACCCACGCTCTCTCTCGAGAACCAGAGCTTAAATCTGGCGCCTTAGACCGCTCGGCCAACCTGACTTGTCGGTCGACGTTGTCTAAACGCGCTATATGAGCGTCGGCTGTGCTGTCGCCCAGGTTGGCTATGCTGTCAGGGGTGATTTTGCCACTGTATGTGTGCTGTGTGTATTTTTGTTTGCGTTAAGGATAAAAACAAATTGTTCTTTTGATTGCAAAAATGGATTCTAAATGTGGTATTACTAACTAATTGGGCGCCTTTTTGCTTTAGCTGTGGAGTTTAAGGTAAAAAATATGAAAAATGAAAATTAACCAAATAAGTAGCATGTCCTGGCCGGCACTTGAGCCAAGGTACCCTCGTTTACCAAGTATTCCATGTTAATTTTGATGCCAGATTTTAGCAATCACACAAACATACGTTTGCGTTTATTTGTAGCCCACTGCAGCCGCCTGCACGCCATAAGAGAAAGAGATGGCAGATAGTGCAAATTTTCTCTCGTTTTCGTTTTTTTTTGGTTTTTGTATTCCGTTTCGTTCCGTACCGTTGTATTGATCAAGAGATTACGGTTGCTGGACAGACAGCTGATAGGCAGACAATGGGTGCGATTTCCTCCCCTCAGCCACAACCCTGGACATACGCAAATGGCTGTTAGTACGTCACAGTTGAGGGAGCTGCTCTTTCTCTTTCTGACCCACCTCCTCCACCTACCAATCACCCACTACCTCCCTCTGCACCCCTCTCTTTGCTATGAAAGCTTTCGTGATGATGCCGCTATCAATTGCATCTGCTTGTAGAGCATTCGCTAATCTCTTGTTGTTCTCATTCAAATCTTTTTGTTTTGTACATCCAAAAAAGCTTTAAGCTTATCAGAAACTAACCCCATGCATGTACAGCGGTTAGGTTAGGGGTGGCCCACCACCCTTGTTGAATGATGCATGTCAAGCAGCTGTTGCTTCCATGAAGTAAAGTATGAATAACTCAATTTGCCAATTGAAGTGAAACAAAACCTTTGAAAGCTGTGAGAGCTATCCCGGAAGTTGTTATGCGATCCGATCCCCTACGAAGGAAGCTTCACTGTGCGTGAGGGCACTTCCTGGTGACTCAGTGGCGTACACTTGAGTCAAGTGGTTGGGGCCCATTGTTTGGATACATCATGTGCCGAGCGCTTAACTGGAAGCATTACTGTGGCACCCACACACACACGAACACCGACATAGAGAGGAGATGGCTCTGTAATTGTGGATTCGGCGCAGTAAGCAAAGCTGCAACCCCGTTTAGAGAGACAGTCAGGGCAGGATGACGATGACTGCCGCCCGTCCAGAATCCGCAAGCCGAATCAGTGCATGTCGCGCGTTCACTGCAGTCACCACGCCACGTGTCGCCATCGCCAGGGGAATCATCATCATCACTGCGCTTCGGCTATCATTTTCCGGGGCGGGGTGCCCCGAAACAGAGAACTCGGTTACTGGGTGAAAACTGCACGGCAACAGCATCGACAACGACAACAACGATAACAACCACAATAACAGATACATCGAGAGCGAGCTGCAACTACGGACAAAAGTCAAAAGTTCAGCATCGCAACAGATTTCCTAGATATACGCGAGTGCACGCAGAGACAGGCGCCAGACTATAGCTCCATATTGGTTGCTCGCCTCGCAGCCAGCTCATCTGCTTTCCATCTTTCAGTGCATTTAGACCGTAATGTAGGTCAGAAATAGCCATAAACTTAGCAACACTCGCATTTCCAGCTACCGCCAGTGGGAAATTTGATTAGTGCATGGAAAATTGAATTAAAAGTGAAACGCATTTGGTTTCTTGGATAATCTCAGTGGAATTATCCAACAAATGGTAGGCCAGAGGTGTCCAAAGCGGATCGCTGACGAGCTGCGTGTGGAAAGTGTTTAATCGATAGTGAAAAGCGGCAAAAAAAGTGAAAATCAATTCCCCTGGCAAGAGCATTGTTATTGTCAGGCCTACCGGGTGGGGTGGAGTACTAACAACATCTAAAGCAAAGATTCAGACCATACCATCCCAAACATTGGGACGCAACCCTCTTGAGGGTAGCTTCACACCCTCGTGTTCAGTCCTCAGGGTAGCCTTTAGAGTCTTCAGTCAGTGCATTGCCCTGCAATTAACCTATTGAGAGGCGCGACTGCAGTTGAACCCACAAAATGGATTTCTACACCAACAACAAAGAGCTGCACAACACCGGCACTGGTATGTATCGTAGGTTCAATTAACTTGGCTTAATTGTCGTCTCACTCATTAAAAACCAATAATAATCTTATCTCAAGGCTCCATTTACGAGGTGGCAATGGTTTGAGCTATTTTTATTACTTCACCCATTAATTTGGTCTGTCTGGAAAAGATAATTATTTAATGAAAGTCGTTTGGGGGAAAATGCATCTAAATAGCTTCCAATTATTTGTTAGACCTTTTCTTGTCAGAAGTTGGAATATAATTCCAAAAGAATAAAGCACTTAAAGTTTCCCAGTATGAACTCCAAGACACTTAAATTTAAACTGAATTTTTACATATGTAATACGTATTTACATATATGTACATACATACATACATATATTAAAATATATTTCATATTCACACAGTGATATACAAACAGGAATATCCAATTCTTAAAATGAAATAAAAAATTTTCGAATCTTCTTTTAATTTCATTTAATGAAAAATATTCAAATTAAAATATTAAAAACAAAAAAAATTAAAATAATACATACAAATAATGTCAGATGTGGGGTTCGAACCCACGCTCTCTCTCGAGAACCAGAGCTTAAATCTGGCGCCTTAGACCGCTCGGCCAACCTGACGGGTTGGGCCTCGCCATCTAAACAAAGATATAGAGCGAAGGATGCAAATAGATTTCCCAGAGGAAATTTAAATTTATGTTTTCTAATTAAAAAGAAAAGGAAATGTTAAATTTTGCAAGTTCCGGGAAAAAAAATGACGAAAACGGAAGAAACTTAGCAACATTTGAGGCATGTCCTGTGATACAAGGGATTCATAAAATATAAGAAAATACATTTTTTTAAATTATCTCTAAGCAGTTTTCTGTCGTCAAGGAAAGAATACTTATTTAAACAAAAGAAATATATTTAAGAGTTTTGCAGCAAAAACACCTTTGTTGTAATTTTCCTCTTTCTATTTATAAAATTTCGATTTTGGTTGATTTTATGGTTAATTTCTTTATTCCTTTGTGCAGCCACAAAGAATCTTGTTTTATCTGTCGACTTCGATACTTACTCCTGCATATCGGTCACAAATTGAAATCGTATTCAAAATTCAGATAGCAGAACATTGGGCTTGGTGATACGAAGGTTCAGTGCCATTGGAAAATGTTTATAGATGGAGGCGATGGAGAATGAGAAGTCTTCCACTTGGCACGGAAGTTCCACTAATAAATCGCAAGCACGCAACAGTGTTTGGTCGGAAAAGGGCGAGTCGGTAAACAGTTTAAACGATGATATCAGCCCCCACTTTGCACTATACCATCTCTCCCCCCGCAATCCATCCTTAAAAGTAAACCCTGTCTATGCTCCCTTCAAGAAAATCACGAAGAGGCGTCTGCTTTTATGGGCTTAGCTTTTGGCTAATTGCTGGACGGATCGTGGGTCAGAGGAAGGGTCGGAGTGCGGTCGGTGTCAGTGCATGTGCTCGGATTACGTATACGCACGGCGGGCCAATAAGCCTGTTAGCTTTTCTCCCATTTGTCTCTTTTGCAGAGTTTTTCATTCTCGACTGCAGTTTATAATTTACTGGGGCCACAAAAGGCTCGCTTCGCGTTGAAGCTTTACATGTCATAAGCTCTTGGCCATGTCTTGAACATGTCTTGGGCCACCTCCTTATTCGTTTTCACCAACCTTATTTAGAGGTCTCTGTCTGTGACTGTGTCTCTCTCTCTGTTTTGATTTTCTACACCTTCGCCTTCTGCTTTGACTCTGACTGTGAGGCCCTTGTCCATTGTCAATGTCGTCGCCTTCCAGCATTTCATTTCCTTCGCCATCAAGTCATTTATGCCTGCTGTTACTGCTTCTGCCACACTTGGATGCCTATCTTGTAAAAAAAAAGAGTGGGAACTGGGGGACAGAGGCAGTGTCAGAGAACTGCATTTCCATGCTATGCAATCAGCAAGAATGCTGCCAGGCAACTTTTTCTTCTTCACATAAACGGCCATCAAAAGTTGCCTTCTTTGCGTTCTTTTCTGCTCCTAGGCAACTTCACTTTTTTGCACAATTTGTAATTTATGCCGCCGTCTCATGGCTCGGAGAAGGCGAAGAGCTTCAAGAGTTGCCCATACAAATTGCGAAGCGACAGAGGCGACAACGTTCCCGTGATTGTGTTGCAGTGTTGCGTTGCATATAAAAGAACTCCATACACAAGACTCTCTGTCTATCTGCATCTCCCAATCATTACTTTTTTTTCGCTCTCTGCATAATCAAGATTATGTTAAATTGCCTGAGTAAGTGTTGTTAATTTACCATGAGCACATTATAAAGCGATTTCAGCCATATGTTGAGGTTAAGCTCCACTTTCTTGCCGACAAAACTGGGCTAATTATGATGGATACATTACAGGCCATACTTCGACAAATGGGAAAGCATTTTCTCGATATAAGCATGAGATTTATTTTTCAATAAATTGAGAAGGTCTTCGTCTCCTCCCCTTAAGAATTTGGCTCAAAGCTAGAACCTTCCAGAAAATGTAACTCATTCAAATTGGGAACAGACAATATTGAGTATTGTTAAGTGCAAACCTCTTTAGTTGATAAGACTTGTTTTAGTTTGTGGCTCAAATTGGTTCATATTAAAATTGGGTAAGGATTAAAGAGTTACATGAGTCATTGGTTTGAGGGAATTTTCAAAAGTGTTTAACAGAGATGATTCCTGGGTTTACATTTCAGAAATTATAAGAAAGTAACAGCAATCTATTAAAAATAAGATACATACATAACTACATACATATCTATCTCTTCTTATGAGAGCATTACCAAAGTTCTGTTGGCTAAGTATGTACTCGCATTTTAGTTAGCTAATGCTTGGGAAACCCAATATGGGCTGAGGTTCTGCTATCTTATCCGTCTGTTATTGGCACATCAGTACTATATAAAACGAGAAGGAACTTGTGTGTCGCTTCTGGGGACGCGACTCTACTTTTATACCCGTACTCAGCCAGTATATAAATATGTGAGCTTATGATTTATGTAGAATTTTAAAATATTTTACATTTTACATTTTTTTGCTACATACATACATATGTTATCTAAATTTCCATATACAATTTATGTTCTACATCTAACATGTAGATTCTAATTTCTGACGCTGTTTTCTACAAATCACGATCCGTTAAACGGTTTGTAGCACAAAACCATTAATTGTAAATGTGGCACCCACAATACAAACAGAATAAAAATTGGAAGCCTAGCTCCGGATGCTGAAGTTTTTCATACTCTTTCAGATTAAAAGTTCTAACGGGATGGATTCGATTTGGATCTAATTTGACTAAACTATAGATTTTTGAAGTTGATTAAGTATCTTTAGGTACAGAAAAGTTTTTTGCAGCGACTTACTGATCTGTATGATATATTAATTCGATCTAGGCGATTCCGACTATTTTGTAAAATTTTAAGCGAGAAAATCTCATCATATGAACCACATGAATAGGGTATAAACGCGCACCAAACTTTTTTAAACAAAATACACCCACACCAGACCCAGAATCTACTGATTCGAAATCCCTCGACACTACACTGTATTTCTCTCACGCGTCAAAGCAAACCCAAACAAACAAACCCCCACAAAACAGAACCCGAACAGGCAGACGACGACTCATTTGGCGAAACACATAATATAATGAATGCCTAACAATCATTTAATAATTTAGCACTTTGAAACAAATTTATCTTGATGAATGAGGAGAGGGAATTGGGGAATGGAGAGATCCAACAGTAAAGCTATTGTTCTCTTTCTCTTCTCCCCCAAACAAACGTCGTCTCCAAAACTGTCGCAGTGACTGCGATTGCGACTGCGACACACACACGCACACACACAAATGAAGTGCAGCTCAAATAGGAAATAGAGAAGAGTGGAAAAGGGATGCAGATAGAGGGCAGAGGCGCCCCGAACCCTGGTCTGGTGCACCATTAACCCAGCGAGAGCGAAATAAATGAATTTCACCTTGAAGCTGCTGCTAAAACAATTTCCAACGTCATCGTCTCGCTTTCCGAAATCAGATAACCCATAGACAGAGCGAGAGAGAGAGATACATGTACATATGTACATGTAGGGGGTCAGTGAGAGCTTGCGGTTTCCTATGCATATATGTATGTATCCGACTGTGTGAACAGATGGATGCTATCACTGGCCCCAGAGGCTTAGCAGAGGTGTTTAGTAAGTCCCATAACAAGGCCGCTGCTTTGTTGTAGAGTGAGAGAGAGAGATAGAGACACCTACACGCAGGGCCGCCGGTTATCAACTCCACTGCAGAACGACACCACTACGCCCATGAGTCATAGCCAGTGCATGACCAAGAAAGGTAACCAGCGAAGTAGACACGAAACGAAAGGCAAAAGAGGCAGACAAAAAAACATACAAAAACAGAGAGAATCGTTTAGGCGAGGTAGTCGGCAATGGGATTCCTGGTACTTAACTCCAAGTGTAGTAGGTCATGGCGGATATACTGGATCTTCTGATTATCTTTAAAACTAAAGGTGGCTTAGGTTTTCCTTGATTTATAAGGAAAACGGAGTACCCAATCGCCTCGCTTGATATTCAATAGAAAGTCAGTATTAAAATTGGGAGATTTCAACTACAGCAGCATACCATTTCAATCTATAAGTACAGGGTGTTAACACTGCCACAGCGACAGCCGACAAGAACAATAGGCGGGCGAGAGAGAACCATAGAGCAAATAAAAGAGCCAGAGAGAGGGCAAAGCACAGGTAGAGTTAATAGCTGAGAAATGTTCACTGTTCACCCAAAACGTACCCATAAAACACCGGTCCCCTACTGTCCCCCCTGCCGGCAGCAGAGCGTCAAAGCGGGCCTTAATGACTGTTCCAGAGAGAGAGAGAGAGAGGCGGTGGAAGCAGCAGCGCCGGCAACGGTGATCGGTGTTCGCTACAGCTGAGTGCGCTCCACAGTTGCCATTCGGAATTCAGGAACTCAAGATCACAGCAAGCGTTATTTGGTTTGGTTGTTCCTCGGTTCCTAGTTCCTCTCTCTGTCTGTGTGTTGGTAATACTCGTAGCAGCGGACGAGGTAGATAAGATTTTTCGCATTGATACTGCCCCGCGTCATGCAACGTACCTTTCGGCGGTCAATTTTCAGTTATAAATAATAGTATTATTAACCTTTATATGTGTATGGCTTTTTACTCTTTCAGTGCGCAAAATGTTGGAGGACACCCAACTCGTGTGGGCGAGGGATCCCGCCGAGGGGTATATACAAGGTCGCATTACGGAAATCGGTACCAAGGAGTTTGAGGTCACGCCAATCGATCGCAAATATCCGAAGCGCACTTGCAGCTACGATGACATTCACTCCTCGTGCGATGGACCACAGGATCATGATGATAACTGTAAGTAATTCTCAGTCAGACATATCTCTTATGGGAAACCGCAACCCCCTCACTATGTAGGGGGCCTCTTATCTACCCTTGAAAATATTACATAAATGTGAAAAGAAAGTGAAAGAACAAATATATGTACGAGTGGAGCAAGCAAATATCGCTTATTGATATTGTGCCTGATGGCTATATCTACAGAATCCGGGAATCTTATCTAGCCACGTAGATAACGCCGCTTTAGCGTAGAGTATTCCAAGTATTTAGATCACATTTTTCCAGTGCATTAGTTTGAAGTTGAGCATGATGATCTTTCTAAGTACGTGACAGATGTATCTCTGGATCTTTATTGCTTGCGAAATGCTCCATTTCTTGACCGTGTTTCACTACGATCCGATGGCACTGTTCCTTCACATAAACATCGCAACCATTAGCCACGCTTGCTGCTTGCATGACCCAACCCCCCAACCTACAACCTTGCCTCCCAGACGGCAGGGGGAAAGTGGTCTTGGGCCATAAATTCTCGCATCAGTCCACCAGACGTTATACTAACCTACTTGACTGTGATTTTACTTTAATTTCCAGGCGAACTCATGTTGCTCAACGAGGCCACATTTCTGGACAATCTGAAGACACGTTACTACAAAGACAAGATCTACGTGAGTACCTAAAGTTACGCGCAGAATAAACGAAACTGGAAATAACTAATATAAAAATGTTCATCTGGTTTACCGTAGACCTATGTGGCCAATATACTGATCGCTGTGAATCCGTACCGTGAGATCAAGGAGATCTATGCACCCGATACCATCAAGAAGTACAATGGCCGTTCGCTGGGCGAGCTGCCGCCGCATGTCTTTGCCATTGGTGAGTCCCCTTGATCCGACTATACGACGTATATAGATAGAATGAGTATATATAACATCTACTATGTTTTGCGCCCACAGCGGATAAGGCGATACGGGATATGCGTGTCTATAAACTCTCGCAGTCCATCATCGTGTCCGGAGAGTCGGGTGCCGGCAAGACAGAGTCCACGAAATACCTGCTCAAATTCCTTTGCTATTCACACGACAGTGCCGGCCCCATAGAAACCAAGATCCTAGATGGTAAGCAAATCATTTATACCCCAGAAATTGTGTGTGACTGATCAGAGATCCATCCAATCCTTAGCCAATCCGGTGCTGGAAGCATTTGGCAATGCGAAAACCACTCGAAATAATAACTCCTCGCGCTTTGGAAAGTTCATAGAGGTGCACTACGATGCCAAGTGTCAGGTGGTGGGAGGCTACATCTCCCACTATCTGCTAGAGAAGAGTCGCATCTGTACGCAGAGTGCTGAGGAGCGTAACTACCATGTGTTCTACATGCTCCTGGCCGGAGCACCGCAACAGTTGCGCGACAAACTCAATTTGGGAAAACCAGATGACTATAGGGTTCGTAGAAAGTGGAAACACCTCTGCCACATCTCAATTCTTACTCACGAGTCGTATACATATCTCTCGGTCCGTAGTATCTCTCCGGCTGCACGCAGTACTTTGCCAATGCCAAGACGGAGCAACTCATTCCCGGCTCACAAAAGTCAAACAATCACCAGAAGAAGGGCCCCCTCAGGGATCCCATTATCGATGACTATCAGCACTTTCAGAATCTGGACAAGGCCCTCGGTCGATTGGGTCTCTCGGACGATGAGAAGTTGGGCATTTACTCGCTGGTGGCGGCCGTTCTGCACTTGGGCAACGTTGCCTTCGAGGAGATACCCGACGATGTGCGCGGTGGCTGTCAGGTATCCGAAGCCACGGAGCACTCGCTGACCATCACGAGCGGACTCTTGGGCGTGGATCAAACGGAGCTGCGTACGGCTTTAGTATCTCGGGTGATGCAGAGCAAAGGAGGCGGCTTCAAGGGCACGGTTATCATGTAAGTGCAAGACGCAATTCCGCTTTATATTGCTGGTGGATCTAATCGATCCACTTGGCAGGGTTCCACTGAAGATCTACGAGGCGAGCAATGCCCGCGATGCGCTGGCCAAGGCCATTTACAGTCGCCTCTTCGATCGGATTGTGGGTCTCATCAATCAGAGCATACCCTTCCAGGCCTCCAACTTCTACATTGGAGTGCTGGACATTGCGGGCTTCGAGTATTTCACCGTCAACTCGTTCGAGCAGTTCTGCATCAACTATTGCAACGAGAAGCTGCAAAAGTTCTTCAACGACAACATCCTGAAGAACGAACAGGAGCTGTACAAGCGCGAGGGTCTCAATGTGCCAGAGATCACGTTCACCGATAACCAGGACATCATCGAGCTGATCGAGGCCAAGTCCAATGGTATTTTTACGCTGCTCGACGAGGAGTCCAAGCTGCCGAAGCCATCGCCCTGTCACTTCACTGCCGAGGTACACAAGTCCTGGGCGAATCACTATCGGCTGGGTCTGCCGCGTTCCTCGCGCCTCAAGGCACACCGCACGCTGCGCGACGAGGAGGGTTTCCTGGTGCGTCACTTTGCCGGCGCCGTCTGCTACAACACCGAGCAGTTTATCGAGAAGAACAACGATGCTCTGCACGCCTCGCTGGAGGGTCTGATGCAGGAGTGCGAGAATCCCCTGCTGAAGACCCTCTTCCCCTCGGGCAGCAGCACTTCCATTCGTGGCAAGCTGAACTTCATCTCCGTGGGCTCCAAATTCAAGACGCAGTTGGGGGAATTAATGGAGAAACTAGAACAGAATGTGAGTAGAGAAACCATCGATCGCACTTCTCTTCGGCTAATGATTGTTCCTCCCCCCTCAGGGCACCAACTTTATCCGCTGCATCAAGCCCAACAGTAAGATGATCGATCGCCAGTTCGAGGGCAGCTTGGCTCTGGCCCAGCTGAAGTGCTCGGGCACCATATCGGTGCTGGAGCTCATGGAGCACGGCTTTCCATCGCGTGTCCTCTTCGCCGATCTGTACAACATGTACAAGTCTGTGCTGCCTCCGGAGCTGGTCTCGCTGCCGGCACGCACCTTCTGCGAGGCCATGTTCCAGTCGCTCAATCTAAGTGCAAAGGACTTTAAGTTTGGCATCACCAAGGTCTTCTTCCGGCCCGGCAAATTTGTAGAATTTGATCGCATCATGCGCTCCGATCCGGAGAATATGCTGGCCATTGTGGCCAAGGTAAAGAAGTGGCTGATTCGCTCGCGTTGGGTCAAGTCCGCGCTGGGAGCTCTGTGCGTCATCAAGCGTGAGTTATCCCCAGATCTCCTTGTATTCAATATGTTCTCTTGATTCGAACGAAACGTTCTCCCTCAGTGCGCAATCGCATCCTATATCGGAACAAGTGCGTGCTGATGGCCCAGCGCATTGCTCGCGGGTTTCTGGCCAGGAAGCAGCATCGACCACGCTACCAAGGCATTGCCAAGATCAACAAGATCCGAACAAACACACTCAAGACAATCGAAATCGCCAACGGACTGAAGATGGGACGCGATGAAATCGTTGGCGGTGTCAATGATATCTACAGGCAGATCGATGATGCCATTAAAACCATCAAGGTATGTCCGAAATGCTGCTGTGTTGTGCTCTGTTCCTCTGACCAGGTTAATTCTTGCAGTGGACTCCACGCATTACCCAACGCGAAATCGACTCCATGTACACTGTGGTGATGGCCAATATGAATAAGCTGACTGTTGATCTGAATACCAAGCTGAAGGAGCAGCAGCAGGCCGATGAGCAGGAACGACTGCGCAAGATTCAAGAGGCCCTGGAGGCCGAACGGGCAGCCAAGGAGGCAGAGGAGTACCGACAGCGCGAAGAAGCCGAAAACAAGCGATTGTTAGTAGAAAATTCACAATTACAAAACCCCAAGCCAACTGAGTGTTTGATCCCACAGAAAAGTCGAAATGGAGACACGCCGCAAGCATGCAGAAGCGCAGAGACTGCGCCAGGAAGAGGAGGATCGTCGTGCCGCTCTGGCACTGCAGGAACAGCTCCAAAAGGAGGCCAAGGACGATGCCAAATATCGCCAGCAGCTAGAACAGGAACGACGCGATCATGAATTGGCCCTGCGCCTCGCCAGCGAATCCAATGGCCAGGTGGAAGACAGTCCTCCTGTTATACGCAAGTATGTTGATTGGTTTCTAAACAAATTTTGGGGGCGGGGGGAATTATACAAGCAAACAGGGGAAATGACGAGGGTGAGGTGTGGGCAGCTAAATCCTCAATTATTGGGGATTACATTATAAATATTTGGGGAGATAAGATAAAGGTTTCACAAATTATGTTTGACTCGGGAGACACAACAATTGTATATGTACAGATACGTTATGACTTGGTTTATAAGAATTTATAATTTATAATTGTTTTGAATTATTCCTGAAAACTCACCAACTTTTTCCCTCTTCCTTCCCCCCCACACGCAATCTACTCTTCCACACCATCCACACAAACCACACAAAAACCACCAAACAAAACACAACAACACAGTGGTATCAATGACGCCTCTCCCATGGGTTCCAACAAATTGATCAGGTATAGCACGCTTTATGTTAATGTCTATAAATATATGTACAATATACAATACAAAAGAAACTCTTGTAAATTTTGTCAATCTCTTCTTGCTTTCACTAATTGGATAAACGAACTACATATACTTTGTATACTATACTTTATTTTCTTATATGCTTTAACTTTCTGTATATTCTTTTAAAAAAAAACCAAAAGTTTTTCACAAGTTGTGTCAAACATTGCTTCGCGGTACTTGAATAAGTGAGTTGGTGCTGGTTTTAAAAACATTCTCATACTAAAATTTAAATTAAATACTAACACCTACCTAAAGTAAAGATATCATGCCCACTAATCCAAATCATCCGTAAACAATCCGTATCTACTACTATAATTCACATTGGCTTTTAGTCTTTCTTCTCTCGCAATTCACTTGCCAGTATGTAAAATCCTCCCATTGTAATGCCATCAATGACTCACTTTTTTGCTTGCGCCTTAACCTACATTTAATTTGTGATATTTTTATGCTAATCCATTACATTCCTGTGCAACCATAGATCAGACAATGTTCGAGCACAGCAGCAGGCCCTGGGCAAGCAGAAGTACGACTTGTCCAAATGGAAGTACTCGGAGCTGCGCGATGCTATCAACACGTCCTGTGATATTGAGCTGCTGGAGGTAGGGCGAAATAATCTACACACCTCTTTGCTGGATAATTTTCCAGGATCATTTTTGTAGGCCTGTCGTCAGGAGTTCCATCGACGCTTGAAGGTGTACCATGCCTGGAAGGCAAAGAATCGCAAGCGCACCACCATGGATGAGAATGAGCGTGCACCGCGCAGCGTTATGGAAGCTGGTAAGTTAAATGTGCTCCAGAGAAGCCCCCAATCTCTATAAACCCGCCCACCCTTTCGACAGCCTTCAAGCAGCCACCGACTGTGCAGCCCATCCAACAGATTGTGACGGCCCAACATCGCTACTTCCGCATTCCCTTCATGCGAGCCAATGCACCGGACAACAGTAAGTTTCATCAATGTACTTTTCGATTATAAATTAATAACATATTCTTGTTACTTTACAGCCAAGCGTGGCTTGTGGTATGCCCACTTTGATGGCCAGTGGATTGCCCGTCAGATGGAACTGCATGCGGACAAGCCGCCGATTCTGTTGGTTGCCGGCACGGACGATATGCAAATGTGTGAGCTGAGCCTGGAGGAGACGGGCCTCACGCGAAAGCGTGGCGCCGAGATACTGGAGCATGAATTCAATCGGGAGTGGGAGCGTAATGGCGGAAAGGCCTACAAGAATCTGGGTGTTAGGCCAAACGGCCCACATCCAGGCATGCAGAAACAACAATAATGAAATAACCATCCCCTTCCCCCCATTCGGAGACAAATCAAATGAAAGCCGTTTCAGTGGTCCAGAGGTTAAAATTTTTAGTTTTACATACGAAAAAAATTTCTGAAGTTTTACCCTTTGGTAAAAGTGACCACGTCCATAAAATTTAGTAAATACAATTAATAATCGTTCGTATGTGTTTACTTGTGTTTTGTTGTATTCGACAATTGCATTCAACATTTATTTCACTCGCTCATCCAGCGCCCAGACTGTTTTGTGGGGGCCTTATATAGCTATTTAAATATACAATAAATACATAAATATACCTACATATATCTCTAATTAAGTGAATCTTACGATGTAAAAGGAAACGGCAAAGTTGTATTTAGTGTCTAACTGTATTGATTGTGTATTTAGTTCACTGCGATGTATTTACATAATTGAATATATATATATTTTACAGTATTTTAAAAACAAATATTTGAAATAAATGCGCATTTATTTAACCTGTCCTGTGTTCGCAAGTTTGAATTTTAGCGGGCACAATTACGATTCACTGAGAATGGCAAACGCAGTGGCAACGCTGTAATTGTTTGTACAGCCAGGTGGCAACTGGGCTGCACGTGTGTTTTGTTTACAAAAATGTCTCGCAAGAAATGGACTTCTCTGGACAAACCGCGCATCTCAGACGCCGTACTGGAGGTTATTCAAAGCTTCGGCTTTCGGGATATGACGCCAGTGCAGACGGCGACCATTCCACTGCTGCTGGCTCTCAAAGATGTCTCCGCCGAGGCCGTCACGGGAAGCGGCAAGACGTTGGCGTTTTTGGTCCCTCTGCTGGAGATTCTGCAGAGGCGGCACAGGGAGCGACCCTGGGGCCCTAAGGAAATCGGTGCATTGATCATCTCACCCACACGAGAGTTGGCGCGACAGATATCCGAGGTGCTGGCACAGTTTCTGGCTCACGAGGATCTGGAGCACTTGAACCAGCAACTGATTGTGGGCGGCAACAGCATTGAGGAGGATATTGCGACGCTCAGGAAGGAGACACCCTGCATACTGGTATGCACGCCGGGCCGCCTGGAGGATTTATTTCAGCGCAAAGGGGATGACCTCAATTTGGCTGTGCGCGTCAAGAGTCTGGAGTTTTTGGTGCTGGATGAGGCGGATCGGCTGCTGGACTTGGGCTTCAAGACGAGCGTCAACAACATACTGGGCTACCTGCCCAGACAGCGACGAACGGGCCTCTTCTCGGCCACCCAGACCACCGAGGTGACAGACCTCATCCGTGCTGGGCTACGTAATCCCGTCCTGGTCTCTGTGAAGGAGAAGGCTTCGGTGAACACACCAGCGAGGCTGCAGAACTTCTACAGGATCGTCGAGCCCGAGCAAAAGTTCACAGCCCTGCTGCAGTTCCTCTCATCGCCAGCCACACGCACTGGCAAGGTAATGGTCTTCTTTCCCACCTGTGCATGCGTGGAGTACTGGGCGGAGGCCTTGCCCCCACTGCTGCCCAAGCGCAGTGTTCTGGGCATCCACGGCAAGATGAAGAACAGGCGAGCCATCGTCGTGGAGAAGTTCCGCAACGAGCCGGAGTCCGTGCTGCTCTGCACAGATGTGCTGGCCCGCGGCTTGGACGTGCCCGAGATCGAGTGGGTGGTGCAGTGGGATCCGCCCTCGAATGCGTCCAGTTTTGTGCATCGCGTGGGACGCACTGCTCGCCAGGGCAACGATGGCAACGCCCTCGTCTTTCTGCTACCCAGCGAGGATGCCTATATCCACTTCCTGAAGATCAACCAAAAGGTGGAACTCAACGAACTGCCCAACGACGAGGCTGGCCCCTCGGACACGCAACTTCCTAGCATTCTGGAGCAGCTGCATCGACAGCAGAGGGCGGACAAGGGTGTCTACGACAAGGGAATGCGTGCCTTTGTCTCCCACGTCCGGGCCTACACCAAGCACGAGTGCAGCGCAATTTTGCGACTGAAAGATCTGGATCTGGGCAAGATGGCCACCGCCTACGGACTGCTGCAGCTGCCGCGCATGCCGGAGCTAAAGAACTACAACGGACATGGCTTCATAGGGCCCAGCTCCGAGGTTGATCTCACCAAGCTCAGCTACAAGAATGCCCAAAAGGAGCAAGTGCGCCAGCAGAAGCTACAGACGTACGAGCAGACGGGCAGTTGGCCGGGCCAGAAGCTGCACAAGAAGCGCACCGAGTCCTGGGATCAGACGAAAAAGGCCAAACTGGATGTCAAGGCGAAGAAGGAGCTGCGCAAGGCCAAGAAGCAACGCAAGCGGGAGGCAGAGTTGGCCGAGGGAGTACCAGGGCAGCGCAAAAGGAAGCAGCAATTCAGCCAGGAAGACCTGGACGAGCTGGCCAGTGATATTCGGCTTTTCAAGAGGCTGAAAAAGAACAAAATCAGCGAAGAGGAATACGACAAGGCGATGGGCATTGAAAAGGACGATTAAGGGGAAAAAATTAACTAATAAAATATTAAATCTTTATTGGTGGCAACAGAACCTACAGCTAAATGAGATGAGAATGATGTGGCGGGCGATTCTGTTCGCTTACGCCGTGTTTCCATCCACCACAATCTGTAGGATGATGCGCCGCTTGGGATCGTACGAGAAGCCATTGGTGCGGAACAGATCAGAGTCGTAAAACGGCTTCAAGTTGCTGATGTCCAGCTGCTTGGCCCGCTCGATCAGATCGCGTTCCATGATCTCCGCATGCGTGGCGCCGGGTCCGTCCTTGCAGCGTATGTAGGCCAACTGGTCGAGCGTCAGCTGGCGCAGGATGAAGAACAGCAGCTCGGAGTGGTCTTTCTGGAAGGCCAGGTACTTCTGGAATGTGTTGCGCATCTTCTTCATCACACTGAACTTCTGGGCCTCGATGAAGCTCTCCAGCATCATGCGTATGGCCATGCTGACGTCCGCCTCCATCACATTCTCGCGCAGATGCATGCGGCAATGGGCCTCCGACATGCGAATGACGCTCTCGATGTGGCGCACAGTGATGGGCAGGGAGCCGGTGGCAAACGATTCCTGACGCAGCTGCGCATACATCTTGGCGATCTTATCCTCATCAATGTTCTAGAGGGAAAAGCAAGGGGGGAGAAATGAGTTGGATTGGGACAAATGATGAACAGAGCGGAACATTGTTGAACGAACCGTAAGCTTTGGCCGAATATTCTCTTTGGCATAGACGATGTACTGGCGCAGCAGATCCTGGGGTATCTCCTCCACAGACTTCTGTGTGGGTTCCTCCATCTCTGGCTGCTCCTCCTCGCTGGGGTGATGCTTCATATGCGAGTGCACCACAAACTTGGCCAGCTGCTGGTCCTGCATGGGATCGAACTCATCCTTGACCACGCACAGGATGTCGAAACGCGACAGAATGGGCTCCGAGAGATTCACGTTCTCGGAGAAGGTCATAGAGGGATCGTAGCGCCCACCAATGGGATTGGAGGCGGCTATGACCGTGCAACGTGCCTGCAGCGAGGTCACAATGCCCGCTTTGGAAATGGATATGGACTGCTGTTCCATGGCCTCGTGAATGGAGGTCCGATCCTGGTCGTTCATCTTGTCGAACTCGTCAATCAGGCAAACACCCTGATCGGCCAGCACCAAGGCGCCGGCCTCGAGGGTCCACTCCCGCGACACGGGATTGCGACGCACGTAGGCCGTGAGACCCACAGCGCTGGCGCCCTGTCCCGTGGTGAACACAGCGCGCGGGGCAACCTTCTCCGTGTACTTGAGGAACTGCGACTTGGCCGTGCCGGGATCACCGCAGATCAGTAGATTGATATCTCCGCGCACCTTGTGCTTCTCGCCGGGATTCTTGGACTCGCCCCCGAACAGGGCGAGGGCCAGAGCACGCTTGATGTAGTCGTGGCCGTAGATGGAGGGCGCCATTGAGGCCACCAGGCGCTCGACAATGCGCGGATCCTTGCTCAGCTTTTGAATGGTGGCTATGTCCTCGTCCGTCAGAGACTGCACCACCTGCTTGGAGTCCTTGACGACCACATGATTGGCAATGATGACCGTGGCAAACACGGGAAAGCCCTGATCCGTATTGAGCGATCCGTCGTAGTTGTTGGTGTAGATGCCAGTCACCTCCAGCTCGTCCCCGGGCTTGCACTGATCGCACAGATCCGCGAGCAGGATGACGTCTTTGCTGCGCGGTATGCGACCAGCGGGAATGCGGCCGGGCGACTCCTGCAGGGTGACCTTCTGGTAGTTGCGGTACAGCGTCTGCTCCATGTTGATGGAGAAGGGACCGTAGCTCTGACACTCCGGGCACGAGCCCGGCTTGACCTCAGTGTTTTGGGACTGCACAAAGGGGCCCAGGACATAGCCGCACTTGACGCAGTCGTACTTGATCACCGACAGCTGCGGCAGGACACCCGTGGTGGCCGTCACCACGCCCAGGGTGCGAACCAGCTGGTTCAGATGCAGCTTCCGGAACGTGCGCAGCTCTTCGATCAGGGGCAGCTCTGAAATGCGCACATGGATCTCGGTGGTGACACGCTCGTAGGTGGGGAAGATGGACAGGACCATGTCCTTGGCCACCTTGTCGAAGATTTCGAGCATCTGGAAGGGGGCCTCCGGCAGGAAGTAGGCCAGCACATGCTCCTTGTTGGCCAGATCCGTGTAGGAGACCACAAACGAGGACTTGTTCTGCTCGCACATGCGACGAATGCGATCCCGATATGTGTACGCGCCACGCTCGTCCACGAATGTACGCAGAAAGGACTGAAAGCGATTGGCAATCTCTGTGCGCGGCCCCAGCATGCTCACCCACTCCTTGGTGGAGTGGCCCTTGGTGTCCTCTAGATTCTCAATGGACTCGATCATCTCCGTGTCCTCCACCTCCCCCACGGCGGCCTTTTCTCCTGCCCGGCGCTTGGCCCGCGGTCCCACATCGTCTTCATCGTCGGACTGGCCAAAGCCAAGCTCGCGATCATCGCGGTGTATGCCAGCTGCACGGTCGCGGTTCCTCATCTCCGACTCGGCCGCATATCGGTCTCCCTGCGACATCTCCGAAAAGTCCTCCTCATCGTCCAGCATCGCCGGATCGTAGTGATCCAGCTCTGGCATGGGACGATAGTCGTTCTCCATGTTGTCCCCGAACAACTCCTCGCCATCCTCTTCCTCCTCGTGGCGCACCGTCTGATCCCCGAGAATC